AACAATGAGAACACATGAACACAGGGCAAGGAACATCACACACTAGGGCCTGTCAGGGCTGGGGGACTAGGGGAAGGAGAGCAACAGGGAAAACACTTAAGGTAGGTAGATCATGGATTTACAGGTGCAGGAAACCACCATGGCACGTGTATACCTATGTAACAAGCCTGCATGTTCTGCACATGTACCCAGAACTTAAAAGTATAATTAAAACGTAAATAAACTACAGAATAATAGGAGAGTTTCTGGTCAAATAAAAGGCCACATTATATTTCTCTTAATAAAAGCATCATAAGTTCAATATGTTTATTATTTGAAATAATTAACATGACCCAGGAATATATTTGAAAAAAAATCCAAAAAAAAAGCTAAATATATAAGCTAAGAAAATTATATGATTATACTTATCTGCAGTATTATAAAACAATACAGTTTCAAAAACTTCTGAATTACAAGTTTAATACAACTTCACTTTTCAACTACATTGTGGTTAGATATTGAGGAATCACAAAGTACCTCAACATGCTAGATAAGAAAACATATTTTTTAAATGTTTTGGTTCAGCTGCTTAGAAACTAAGGAAAATCCTCAGAGGATAAAACTAACAAATAACATGTACAAATAAAAGTTCTGAAACTGATGACAATCTGGGTCAACCATAAAAGACAAAATTTGGAGCTTCCAAAAAAGGTCATATTAGGGTCTTTAACATAAAACTGTGACAGTTCTATTATCCTTTGAGCTGTAAAACTGAAGGAGGTGGAAAACATCCTGAAGAAATAGATATTAAATACTTTCCCTATCTTGGTACTGCTTCCACAAGAAGAAAAGGAAAGATACTCCTAAGAGTTCTTACCTGTCAGCCATCCACACAAGAATTCATATTTACTTGAAAACACAAGTATTCATTTTTACTTGAAAATGCAAAGCTAAAAATTTTTTATACAGTCTTAGGAGAATCCTTGACATTTAACAGAAAGTCTATTCTGTAGCTGGACATTAAAATCTAGGTTTCTGAAAAAAATCCCATATATATGGTTCAAAGAAACACAAGCTCATCAAAAAATAAAAACAACAACAAAAAACACTAATTAAATCAAAGCCATTAAATATGGAAGGGGAGTTGTAAAATGAGTAAAAATTTGTTGAGAAAACAAGCTGTCATTAGTTCTCAGAATATGCTATAATAACTAGGTGCTGAAGGTAAAATCAGTTTAATTTAATAAGAGGATAAAAGAAATATGAAAAAAAAGGTTTTCAATATTAACTAGGAAAGTCTGAAAAATAATCAGAAATTCTAAAGATAAAAATGTAACATTAAAAATTATAAACTAAGTGGTTTAATAGATTAGGTATTTTAAAAACTGGTGCATTTTTAAGTTCTTTTAAGTAAGTTACTTAAAAAACAATAGCAGCAAAAGAATAAAAAAAAATTGAAAGACAGGTGGAAAAACACACAGAAGAGACTGGACTAATAAAGTTCCAGCTAATGGGATAAAGAAATTATAGACTGCAAAAGTTGATGACCAAGAATTTTTCAGAACTGGTAAAAGCTGAATTCTCAAGTTTGAGAATTCCTATGTATTCCCAGAAATATTAAGTAAAAAGGTCACATTTCATACATCAAGAAAACCTGCAATACACTAAAACAAAGAGATATTATAGCAGTCTAACAGAAAAAAACAGAATACACTACTACAAACTAATGTAAGATTCAGAATTGACTTCTCAAAAGCCAAAACAGATTTTTAATGTACTGATAAAAGACAATTCTCAAACCACATTCGTATATATACAGAGAAATACCTTTATAAGAATAAAGGTAAAACACATATTTAACAACTCAAAGAAAAATTTACAAATGCCTCTGTTTAAGAATTTTTTTTTTTTTTTTTTTTCTGGGCAGAGATTCCCTGTGTCACCCAGGCTCGAATGCAGCGGTGCAATCTCAGCTCACTGTAAGCTCCACCTCCCATGTTCATGCCATTCTTCCACCTCAGCCTCCCGAGTAGCTGGGACTAGAGGCGCCCGCCATGATACCCGGCTAATTTTGTGTATTTTTAATAGAGACGGGGTTTCACCGTGTTAGCCAGGATGGTCTCAATCTCCTGACCTCATGATCCACCTGCCTTGGCCTCCCAAAGTGCTGAGATTACAGGCGTGAGCCACTGCGCCCAGCCTGTTTAAGAAATTTCTAAAGAATTTACTTCAGAAACGAAGAAAAATGGTTGCAAGAATGGCAAATAATCAAAAGAAAAAACCAAGTGTGGATAAATCTGTAGTCAGTATGAAAACAAAAATAATAAGCATTTTGTTGATGAAAAAGCTTTAAAAACACGCACAAAAATTTCATGGGTCAGAATAGAACTGAACAGAAGAGTAACAGTTATATAGTCTAATAATACTTGAGAGAAGTAAAAAAATTAAATGTTACCTTATCTTTAAAATAAAGTATTAAAACTAGCATATACAAGTTGCTAAACTTAGAAGTGGCTAAAATGGAATAAGAGGCAAAAAAAAAAAAAAAAAAAGAAAACAAAAGGCAGCAGAAACTAAGTTCAAAACAAGATAGCAAAAAATGGATGTAATCATCAGTCATAATAAATGAAAATTAATTAAAAAATAAAAACTCACTGGATTAAAAAAATTAATTGTGCATTATTTACAAGTTAAACATTTAAAGTCTATGTATACAGAAAGATAAACTAAATCTTAGAGCCAAAGGAAACTAGCAGGAATGGGACCAACCGGCAGGATAGAGATACCAAGGTATTTATTTGTTTTATAAAAGTTAAAAAATTAATAGCAGTACAAGCTCATCATGATAGGGGTTAATACACACATTCTGCATCTACTCAAATGTCTATATACACATATATGTTTTAGATAAGTATAAATGGCACCTCCAATAATTTAGCAGGCGGTATAAACTGATGCTCTTAAAGGCTTGCAATTGGAATAAGCTATTGGAAAGCGTTTGGCCTTAGTATCAATGAAATACAATGTAGTGCTACGTGGGAACATATCATACCCACAAAATTAGGTAACAGTATGAAGTGCTTTGTTAAATATATGACTAGTTCCCCCATTAGTTTCAGTGTAACCTATCAGAATTCTTTTGTAAAACAATTCAGAGTATCTTTCCATTCCACTTCTAAACATAGAACCTAGAAATTGTTGCTTTAGGAGACCTGTACAATAATGCTCATACACTATAATAGCTAAACACCAGAAGCAATCCAACAGAAAGAAAGATAAATGAGATGCAATCCCAGCATGCAATATTACATAATAGTGAGAAAACAGATAACTTAAAGCTATGAGCAACAATATAAATGAATTTTCGTAACACAATACTGACAGAAAAAAATCAGAGAACACACAACATTAACAAAGCTTGAAAATTAATACCCTTTGTAAAAATACATACATATGTAATCAAACACTACACTCTTTTTTTTATTATGACAAACCCATGACAGTGGAACATTTGGGTGTTAGTGGAGAGAAAGAGGGAGGTATGACTTGCAGAAAAGCCTGTAGAGAGATATTATATCATAAAACTTCAGTTCTTCTGTTCAAAAGTTAGTTCATGGATATTACTCAATACCATGATTTATACTGACAAAAGGACTTGTCTGTGGCTTCAAAATACCACAGTTTTTTTGGGTTGTTTCAAAAAGGGAATTAGAAAAAGACCAATGTCACCAATGGATGCTATAGGTGATTCTCTTCTAATTACTTATAGTTTCAATCTTCAGTAATTTTAACTTACTTCTATTTTAAAAACTATAAACAAAGTATCTGTAAGAAAGACTTTTAAGTACTATCATGCTCAGCTACACATCTCTTAACAAAAGGACATCTGAAAAATATGTCCCTAGGCAATTTTGTCCTTATGTGAACATCATAGAGTATACTCACACAAACCAAGAAGAAACAATCCACTACATACCTACGCTATATAGTATATAACTATTGCTCCTCGGTTACAAATTAGTGCGACATTATTGTACTGAATATTGTAGGCCATATAACACAATGGTTTAAGTATCTATGCCTTTAAACAGAAAAGATATAGTGAAAGTACAGTATTGCTCCTTTGTTAAACTGAAACTGTTATGCAGCATATGACTATGTAATAGCACTTATATGGATACAGACGTCTCCATAAATAAACAGTATATATACATAAAAATCAAAGTAAGGCTTCCTAAAAATGTTAGTCACAGCTATTAGCTAAGTTTACCCTCAAACTACTATTTTTTCTGTCTAGATCAACCCTCTTGTTAGATTAATCTATATACAATGCCAAATACTAATTCTTTTGGTTCCGGCCAACATGGTAAAACAGCAGTTATAATAGGATTAATTTCTCAAATGTTCAAATAATGCGTAAGGATGGTGACATTTTAGCTTTTAGACGGTTACATCTCCCCAAATTATGTTACTTCAGGCATTATTTTGTTTGGGTCTCCACTATGGGAGAAATGCAAATGTGATGAGCCAGAATTTAGGATGGCTGTATGGGTTTCTTTGATTAATACAAGAAACTACCGTGTAATAAAGAATGAAATCAGTGGTTTCTACATTGCTCCATGTGTTTGATATGAACACAAACTGATACACTTAACAGAGGCACCTCTTTCTGCCCTTCCAAATATTTCAAAATAAGCTGGTCATAGTACTTGTTTTTCGTATAAAGGTGGTAAGCCTCCAATAATTAGACTTAAGGAAAGGCAGAGGAACACTATACCTCTTCATTGATAATATCAAGATTTACACTGTTCCTTTTATCTATCCCCATCGGAGTTTTAAGAAAAAAAAAAATGATGACTGTCCATATTCTGGTTCACTGACAGATCATTCAATATCATCAAACCTCATCATTATCCCAAACATGTGAACACAATACTGTGTGGGAGAACCTATGAAAGCACTTTTATATGCCAAAATGAATTTCCCTAGTTAATGTTAACATGAACTACCAACAGTATTACCTTCTCCTCAGGAGATAAATTTCGTTTGCTATTGCTGACCGGAAAGCCACTGCCAAATTCCTTGGAATGAATATCAGCTCCATATTCAACTGTCACATCCTCATCAATGCTGCTCACCAGCCTCCAGAATTCCTTCTCTACAAGTTCTGTAGGCACCATCTGTGAAAACAAGTGCAAAAGATTATCATAGCCCCCCTATACTTTGGACCCATGTCTCCACGAGCCAGAGAACTAAGACCATCACAACAGAATCGCTACAGTCCAGCCCTCAGATCACATACATGTACAGGCATGTTGAAGTAGTCAGACTTGAAGGAATCAGCCATTTCACCAAAACTCTGCAAAGTGTACTCCTGGGTAGCCTGTTCAAATCCGAAAGCTTCAGGAGGCTGTTTACACTCCTGAAATAAAATATATTTCAGAAAGTCAATAAAGATCCAAAAAAATAGGAAAGCTAAGGAGAGATAAATTTTTCATGTTACATTCAATATCTCAAGTGATAATTCTTCATTTTCCTATTTCCAAATAGGTTTGTTTCATCAGTAGGTATTAAACATTATTTCCTAATCTTTCCTAATATATTTCATGCCATTTGGATTATGTCCCCTTGCCTCTGGTTCACTCAAGTCTCTATCATTCTACAGTTAGTGTGTCCAACCATTCTTGCATAGTAGCTCATTGATAGCTTAATCAAAACCTAACAAAAGTATTAACTTCTAAAAGGGTAGAAACTACTTCCCTAAGATCCAGAAGGTTACACTGCAGAAAATCACCAAGAACCAAAAATGAATCATCAGTGACAGACAGATCTTACCGCCAAGATACATTTTGGGCACCTCCAGATGCCTCTGGGGATTTCAGGAAGGGGTGGCAACAAGCAGTAGATGTGGTAATTGTCATCACAGCCATCACAGAAAAGCAGCTTATCATCTTCATCCCCACGAGAGCATATCTGGCAAATATACGAGTCAATCTACCAAAAAAATAGGAAAGTAAAAAGATTAGTTGCTTGTTCTATGATACCTTATCCCAGGTTTCTAGACCATTGATGAACACATATCATTAACCAGTAACTATACAATGTTGTATTTATGAGTTTACTACCTAGTGCAAACTATGACAAGAAACAATTACAGTGTAACACAGTAAGTTAACAAAAAACCACGGGTGCAAAGTAGACTTTTTATACAGGTTCAATGGCATAAACAAAAATCATAAAGGTATAAAGCAGCATTGATTGTATGTATTGTATGTAACTGAATTGTATGTAATTCAAAGAATTACATACAGTTAAAAATTTGACTGGCACAGAGGGCAAGTGGAACATAAAAAGGCCAACTGACCGAGTATCCAGTTACACTTGTTCCTCTCGTGAAAAGTTTGGGAGATGTCTACTTTCATTCTAAATGGTATCTTAGATTAGGTGATGAATTAAATAGTCACCCAAGTAGTATGTCACAGAAGAGAAACATGAAGCAAAGGCTAAATAACTTGATTCTTAGATACAATTGAAAAAAAAAAAGTTATAATTAACAGTTTAAAAAGAAAATGCAGTGACAAAGTTTTTAGCAGGGTACAGTCATATTTTGCAAAAATTACCTTCAACAAGTAGGATGGGCTTTTCTACAAGAATCTAGAGGTAAACTGATCAATAAAGAGAAAATAAAGATAACTCAAGAGCAGAAGAAACTATGAAATTATGTATTTTTAAATACATACACATAAACATACACAAATTATATATGTGTATATACACATGCATATATACACATATATATGCATGCATCTACACACACGCATATTACAAATCAGAATACTTATAAATATAAGAGACCAGGTGGGGTGGCTCAGGCTTGTAATCCCAGCACTTTGGGAGGCCAAGGAAGGAGGACTGCTAGAGCTCAGGAGTTCATGACCAGCCTGGGCAACAAGGTCAAACCTCATCTCTACTAAAATAAAAAAAAAAATTTAGCAGTGTGTGCCGGTGTGCACCTATAGTCCCAGTTACTTGGGAGGCTGAGGCAGGAGAATTGCTTGAACCCTGGAGGCGGAGGTTGCAGTGAGGTGAGAGCATGCCAGTGCACTTCAGCCTGGGTGACGGTGAGACTCCGTCTCAAAAAAAAATTCAACAGAATTATCAGGAAAAGATTTCATAAAATAAAAAACTTTTAAACTTATGAAAGATGCTCAATATAAAAAATTGTAAACCAGGGAAATGCAAATAAAAATTACAATGAAATACTAGACATCTTCCAGAATGGCTGAAATGAAAACAAAACTGTCAATTTTAAGTGTTAGTGAGGACATGTAACCAGAACTGGTATCCAATACTACCTGATAACTAGTCAACTATTTTTAAAAATAGTCTGACAATAATCCCAAACTGAAAATATACATAGTCTCAATCACAGCAATTCAATCCTGTGTATCTAGTTAACAGAAATGTCTACATATGCTACCTAGAAACATATACTTTAATATTCACAGAATTATTTGAAATAGCCAAAAATTGGTAACTACCAAAAGTTGAATGGTAAAACAGATGGAAAAAAAGCTATGCCTAACAAAATTACACTTAATAGAATACAAGAGTGAGTATTAATAGAACCACACAAACGAATTTTTTGAACCACTGAACGAAGAAGTCAATATAAAAGGGGTAATTAAAAGTACACAAACAAGGAAAACTAATCTAGATATTTTTGTGTATGCGTGATATACCAAAATAAAAACAAAAGCAATAGAACTAAGTGAACAACTAGCTGTAAGGGTTAGAAAGTAGTGATCAATAACTCCCAGACTTCAATCTTGATGATAGGTCTACCTTGTGTCCATAAAATGAAAAATAGAGAGACAAGTAGGAATAGGACAGGGGTGGTAAAGATGATCTCCCAATCATTAGGTGGAAACGACTAAAAGAAACACAAGAATTTGCAGCTCAAAACAGAAGTCTGAGAACAAAATTTCTGAAAACAGCATTTACATAAAGGAAAGGCAAACAAAAATTATCAAAACAGGGTGAAATTAGTTAAAGAGTAAGGAGGAAGATAAGAATTTTAGTCTTTTTTTTTTTCTTGTAGTGCAGATCTAAATATGTAAGACATTATAAAAATCTTCCAAGTGAGATGTAGAAAGAGTAAAAGAAGATGTAAACATACAAGGGACAAAAGTAAAACAAGATAATAGAAAACTGTCACTGCTGTATGAAATGTGACGCTTTGAGAGTCTGGAGGAATTCGCCATAAACAAATAGCTCTTTGACATAATTTATATCTGATCACGTTATCTCCTATATTAAGCTGTAGAAGTTCAGTAAATGCTGATAGAGTTGAAAAACAGAATATAGTTTTGTGAAAAGTTTTATCTAAAAAGATATAAAAAATTTGCTTTTGACTTTAGTATCTTGAATAAGTTTCCTCCCCTTTCTAGTCACCTGTCTCTTCAGATAAAAGGGCTCATGAACAAGTAGAAAGAAAGAAAGAAAAAAGAAAAGTATGATGAAATAATTTTAGGTTCAATCTAATCTTGACAGTTCAAAGTAGAGTATTACAAAATCATGAGTCCTTACAAACTGGGCACTGCTGTGATTCTTTCGTAGCTGCATAGTCGTCTTAGTGCAGGGCTCTAGGCTATAGTGCTGCTTGAGCAATGCTGATGACATGTTCCCATCTCCACTTCGCTGGTCCTTCACCGTAACAGCCGGGGTGCATGTGACTAGGGACGTGAAAAACAACTCTGAAAACAATTCTCTCCTGCATCAAGATTACCAAACTACTTCTCACATGAAACTTTGCTATTTTACCCCTCTCACTTACCCAGCCTATTAAAGTTCCTCACCTTTCTTACGCACAGTCTTATCCTTATCCCTAGCCATAAGGCCCAAGCCCATCATTTTGGGACCTGGCCCATAAATCTGTAACTTCTTTAGCTCTGGATTCTTCTCAATGTCCTCCTCTGTAGGCTCTGGCTGTTCAAAGAAGATTCAAACAATGAAGTTAGTTTTACCTATACAGGCATAAATACTTTACAGGCAAGGTCTAGACAAGTTACATGGACTAAAATCAACTAACAGCCTTTACCCAATTTTGAATGGTTATTAATCACATTTTTACTGTGAGTACGGTATGGTCAGGTAGGAGCAAATGGATAAATTTGGAAAGTAATGAAGTTTGTCAACTTTTTTCATGTCAGGAAAAAAATGACTACTCCTGGGCTTGCAAGGCTAGTGAAGCTTAAATGTCAGAAATTTATACCTTAAAGAATTTTGTAATTACAAATAAGCCCCCCTCTCCAACTGAGCTGAAGATGCAAACAGTACAAGAGGAAAAATTCTATTCCATTTAGGCTGATATCATTAGAACCATAACGGCTTTCAGACCACAATGTAATCACAAACCTAGGAAAATGGAAACCAAGTAAGTATCAAAATACAAATCATATGCTATATATATATTATATACCATTTTCAGCATTTTTCTTAGATGACACTGTAAAATATGTTTTATGAATGTTTAAAATTGTTACATTTTGAAATTGGGCTCAATTACATTTTCCATTTATTTTAAAGCTTTACTCTTACAAATTTTCTTCTATAGAGAGATTAGTTTTCTTCTATTTATATAAACACACACACGTATACACACAGAGAGACACAGTGACGTATTTTATGCTTTTCTTTTATTCCCACAGCAATTTCTGCAAGTGGAAACGTATATTGTGTTATGTCTATGAGTATACATAGCTTATTAAAATACTGTTCCAAAAATCATTTAATTATACATTGAGGCCATTTCCAACTTTTTGACCTTCTGAAGAGCTAAGTAACTAACTGTATTAATCTAACTTTTATTTTATACACCTTACATTGTTTTGACATTTCTGGGGGACACTGTTGGCTAGGGAGCCCAGCTCTTTCAGAGCTGGCTAAACTAAACCGTAACTTTACCATACACACCAAACTATCCCGAGTCCAAACCTCTAACTATTTGCTTTAAGTATCATATACAGCCAGTTTTGCCCCTGCTGTAAACCAACTCAGAGCCGTGTACCAGAAACCTATTGGCATCCACTGTGCCCCACAGAGCACTGGAATTATTCCAATAAGCTAGCCAATTCTGACATTTACACTGCCCTGCCTTGCCTGTCTCACAGAAATACAAACAAAGGGTGTGATCTGTGCCTTTCACCTTACCTTTCACCTCCTGACTGACTACTGTGGCTCTGTGTGGTATGCCATACATCTCATTTGGAAAGAAACAGTCAGCAGTGTTAAATTTTTAGCATTGACCTCTCCATCTCATCGTTACTGAATCACGTCTATAAATTAAGACTCAGGCACAAATCATTAGTACTCATGTACTTGCTGCATTATTCTTCTCAAAAGATAATTAACAGAAGTTAAGCAGGAGGACATAAACATTTAAAATTTTAGTAACTTCAAATTTTAATTTTAATACAATCCTTCACTACTACAAACAGTGCACATAATGCCTAGTTCCTCATATCCTTGACACATTTTGACCTTTTCCTAACCAGTTATGTGAAAGGGATATGTGGTTACTTCGTATATTTTCAATTTGTAAGTAAGGTGAAACACTTTGGATTTATTATTCATCAGGGCTGCTAGAAAAGGAAACTTGAAAATAAGCTATGATAAAAAATAAAGAGTCCATCAGTTTTGTGCTTATACAACTTATAGACGCAATATGTAAGTTTACACACAAAATATTATATTATGTACATTATATATTTTACATTAATGTTACATAATTTCTAATCATCAAACACTCTTTAAAAGAGCTAATATACATTATATATTTTACATTAATGTTACATAAATTATTTCTAGCCAGTAAATACTTTTTAAAAGAATTAATATCTGCTTGTTTTAGAATAAAGTAATACCACACTACTGTACATTTCGGACAGTCTACTACCGGTTCTTGAATTACAAACACACATTAAATGGAAAAGATGTGTTAGTTCTCATGTCTCCTTCCTTGCTTTATGCAGAATTTGTAACTTTTTTTCTTTATATTTTGGAAATACTACCAATTTTTGTAAACCATACAGTTTTCAATTTTTTGTTTGTTTTGTTTTTGTTTTTGAGAGAGTCTTGCTCAGTCACCCAGGCTGGAGTGCAGTGGCATGATTTTGGCTCACTCCAACCTCTGTCTTCCAGGCTCAAGTGATTCTCATGTCTCAGTCTCCCAAGAAGCTAGGATTACAATTGCCTGCCACCACACCCACCTAATTTTCCTATTTTTAGTAGAGATGGGGTTTCACCACATTGGCCAGGCTGGTCTCGAACTACAGACCTCAGGTAATCCACCCACCCCAGCCTCCCAAAATTCTGCGATTATAGGCATGCGCCGCTGTGCCTGGCCCAACAATTTTTAAAACCTTTCCTGCAAAGTGGACAATGAACTCCCTCTGCCAAAAAAGTGTCTAAGGATCCATTTTATTTGGAAAAATTTTTAGACCCTTTGCTGGTACTTACAACTTGAAACAAATTTTACCGGTTTCCTAGTTATTACATGTTCATTTTTCTTATTCAGTTTTTTTCCAGACATAGTTCTTACTATAAAGAACTAAAGTACTAATACAGAATCCATCTGCATTTCAATAATCTTAACTAGATAAAATTTCTCACTTCAGTCTAGTATCTAATATTACAGTATCTCAAAATTTAAATATTGTTAGAATTATCCAGAAAGCACCCAGGGGTACACAACATTGTCTTAATTTATTTTAAGGTACTTCAGAAATAAAAATATCCAAATGTTATGAAAATCTTGTATATGAAGCAGTAAAAACAGACTTACTTAGAAGTTATTAAAAATATAGTTTATATTTTTCATTTTCTGAATATTATAATGTTTTAACATATTAAATATTTCTGGCTAGGAGAGACTGCCCTCCCAGGGTTAGCTGCTACTGCAAATACCAAACGGCTCACCCAGGAGTATGCCTTAATGTGTCTTTAATATGTTCACTGACAAATCCAAAGCTAATCTTCATCAATTCAGCCCATACAATTAAGAAGGCAAAGTTCCTCCGCCTTAATTCTAGGGTCAGGCAACTAGGGAATACTGCTGTAGCCTAGAGACTGCCAAAAGTATTCAAACTAGCCAATTCTATACTGCTTATCCTGCTCTGTCTTGCCTTTCCCTTGGTAAACTCAATATAGGCTATGGCCTAGGTTCTTTCCTTGTTCCTGCTACTTCTGCATGTCCAAGATGGGTTTTCCCCTCTACCACGGTGTAGCATATAGTGACTACCTCACTAAGGCCTGTGATGATAATAAACTTTGCTTTCCTGAGTCTCTGTGGTCACAGCTACTAACCACCACATGGAAGACCATAGAATAAAACAAACGGTTAACAATAACTAACTTGTATAGTATGCTTTACAAAAATCATTCCAAGGTTCAAAAAAATTAACAATACCTTATAAGCTGGCATAGTGGCTAACCTCTATAACCCCAGTTACTCCAAAGGCTGTGAAGGCAGAATCATTTAAGCCTGGAAGTTCAAGACCAGCTTGGCAACATAGCAAGACCCCATCGCTTAAAACAATAGCAATACATTTTTTTTCAAAGCATATAAAAGCAAAACTACAAAAATAATACATTATAAATCGTATTTTTAAACAAAATAACCCATAATTCATTTCAATTAATCTTGAACCAGGCACATACAAAACAATGCTTTTAGTAATGAATTTTCCCCAACATCAAGGTCTAGATGAAACTTCTCAGCTATAGAAAGAATAAGAGGAATAACAGTCACTCACATCAGTCTGTAGTCTTTTTGCCCGTCGACTATAGCTGCTGAACTTTGAAGGTTGCACAGACTGTCTAAGGGGGATGCTGTGGGGCTTGTATTCCTTATCTTTTACCTCATTGTCAAACGGGTGTGTGTTACACTGCTAGAGAGAAAAAAATGTAGAATCAGAAATTGACAGTAATTAGTGATGCCTTCAATTACAACTCCAGCAAATAAAGCTGTAGTTCTTTCTAAATTACACAGGTCCACTCTTGTTCTTTGGATAGAACACATACCCTAAAAATTCCCATGCCTTTGCTTAGGAATGAGCAGCACAGAACATGAAAGAACATCGTCTTTGCACTGTCTTGATATCAATCTGGGTTTTAACACTTTCAGCAAACATACTGAACTTCTCTCTTTGTGCTTCAATCTCCCGGATGAAAAATGAGTAACAAAAATACTCAATCTGGCTGGGCGTGGTGGCTCAAACCTGTAATCCCAGAACTTTGGGAGGTCGAGGCAGGTGGATCATGGGGTCAAGAGACCAAGGCCATTCTGGCCAAATGGTGAATTCCTATCTCAGTAAAACACAAAAATTAGTAGAGCCTGGGTGACAAAGTGAGACACTGTCTCAAAAAACAAAGCAAAACAAAAATACTGAATCTTTAGCAGAATTATGTACACTAAGTGAAACGTGTTTATAAACATAAATACACAGTTTTTATAAAATATTTTAAAGTTTTATGGATAATAAAACCTAAAAACTGGCCAGTCGTGGTGGCACACGCCTGTAATCCCAACATTTTGGGAGGCTGAGGCAGGTGAATCACGAGGTCAAAGGATCGAGACCATCCTGGCTAACATGGACAAACACCATCTCTACAAAAAAAACACAAATCAGCTGGGCATGGTCACTCGCCTGTACTCCCAGCTACTTGGGAGGCTGAGGCAGGAGAATCACTTGAACCTAGGAGGCGGAGGCTGCAATGAGCCGAGATTGCACTCCCGCCTGGAGACTGAGACACTGCCTCAAAAAAAAAAAAAAAATTAAAAACTTATTACATAAAAACACCCTGCTAAATCAGTTCCCCCACCCTGAGTTAAATCCAAGTCATACCAAGCTTTTAACCTAAACTGTCTTTAAGTTACCCAGCCTCATGAAAGCTTAGGAACCTCATTAAGATTATCTTTTTCAGCCAGGCATGGTGGCTCATGCCTGTAATCCCAGCACTTTTGGAGGCCAAGGCAGGCAGATCATGAGGTCAGGAGCTCAAGACCATCCTGGCTAACACAGTGAAACCCTGTCTTTACTAAAAATACAAAAAAATTAGCCAGGCGTGGTGGTGGGCACCTGTAGTTCCAGCTACTGGGGAAGTTGAGGAAGGAGAATGGCGTGAACCCGGGAGGAGCTTGCAGTGAGCCGAGATTGTGCGTGGGCAACAGAGCAAGACTCCGTTTCAAAAAAAAAAAAAGATTATCTTTTTCATGTGAGATACTTAAAGGTAGGAAATGGTTACCTCTAACTTCTAGTTTATGATCTTCTCCATAAAAAGATCTTGGGAACCCATTAGAAAGGTCACTCTAGTTCTTACTGATGTATGGCAGGAATAAAACTATGCCACATAAAGAGGCTGCAAAATATGTTCCAGGGTCAATTCTTGGAACATCTTCACTCCAGAGTTTTATAATCTATAGACCCTGACTACTCAGGAGAAAAGTCCAATCCAAAGAGAAAATAACAAAAGAAAACAAAATGACATCAGGCCACGAACTAATTTAAGGGCCCTCACCACATGGTTGGCTCCAGACTGAAACATTTCATAGGGGTAAATAATGCGTTCATAATGTGATCGTAGCAGGGAACCAATGTTTCTGCCTGGTGGATAGTGGAGACGCTGGGCAACTCGAGCCCACCGACGATCCTTGCAAATGGCTTCATACCCACCTTCCTCCATCACAATCTGAAAGTATAAGAAACAATATGGGTGAACTGTAAACAGGCTGGAAAGGGCTAAACACGGCAATGAAACTTGACTATAGGTGGCTGTGCCCTTCCCCCAACACCAATCATTCTAAGACTCAAAGATTATGTCAAGAAATGCTGCCAGGCTCTGTGTTGTTTCCTTTCCTGCCTAGTGTTTCTACCACAGAAGATCTTTGATGTAAGGCTTTTTATTTGTTTCTCCTTTAGAAAGTAGACTACTCTTACCTTACTAAGGCTGTAAAGGTCCAAGATCCTCCGCTCCACATTGGGAATCTTTAATGAGGAGCCTTGAATTTCCCAGAATTTTGCAATCTGATCCAAATAGTTCAATTTCACTCTAGTCTGGGCCTGGGAAAGAGAAGGCCTTGTAAGATTGGCATACTCCTTAATAGGACTTCACTGAGTATGAAGTAAATGAACAAGTATTATTCTATGCTATCTACACTTCGCTATTAATGTCCCGGAGCCCCAGCTTCCCTGTCTTATCTCACCAATGGTGTCCACACAAAGTTTGCTGATTCTTTAACCTACAAGGAGCTATGAATTTGTCTTAGAATCGAAATCATATCTAAATTTAAGGAATTATTCTTGGACTTAAAGGTGGCTTGACCAAAAATATGTAGGCTCCAAGAGTATTTAGACTCAGTATCACCATTAGTCTTAATGTAAACTTAGAATGTACTGATATATAATTGAAAGAACTAAAATATTTTTCTAGTTCATGTAAAAAATTTGGACATGAAACCAGTTTCTGAATTATTGCTTTCTTACCCTAACTCACATGCAGCTTCTAGCTACTGATCATAGTCAAAATTCTAATAGTAAATGACAAATCATTCATATACTTTCTATATTGAATACTAAACTATGAAGACTGAGTTGACTGCTTTAAAAAGCAAGCTCTGCCTCTGACATTTTATTAAAGCAGAACATATGTAATACTATCAGCCTGTTGCTGGATATTTAAAAGATCCTATTTCTTCTCTGAACTCTGCTTCTGTTAAAGAACTAAAAAAAGTTTAGTCACACTGGATGCAGTGGCTCATGCCCGTAATCCCAGCACTTTGGGAGGCCAAGGCAGGCAGATCACCTAATGTCAGGAGTTGGAAACCAGGATGGCCAAAACGGTGAAACTCCATCTCTACCAAAAATACAAAAATTAGCCAGGCGTGCTGGTGTGCACCTGTAATCCCAGGCACTTGGGAGGCTGAGCCCAGAAGGTGGAGGTTGCAGTGAGTCGAGATCGTGCCACTGCACTGCAGCCTGGGAGAAGGTGAAATTTAGCATCAAAAAAAAAAAATTCAGTCATTAAGTATGTGAATATGAGAAGACAAAATGGGAAAAGTACTGCCATTTTGATAGTTCTAACCTGAAACTATTGTACAACAAAAGAATGCATCATTCATCCTCAGAAATTTAAAGCCTTCTTTGTGTTCCAGCATTTTAGTGGACACAAATTACGTACTTTATAGAAAACTTTCTCCAAGATCAATATTCTGGATCAATATTCAAATTTAACACATTAGATTTCAAAACCTAAGTTATATATCGTTATGAAACTACAACAGCAAGATTAGAGATCAGACTCCTTTAAGAAAAGTGTGCCTCCCAATCTTACCTCCAGTTCATTTAGCCTTTGGATGCGAGGAGTAAATCTGAAATTGTCAACTTCTACTGCAAAGGGAGGCTGCCAGTCCTAGAAGAAAGTGTAAGAACCTCATAACTATGGCACAGTTAAGGATGAAGATAGTGAAAACCACAATCATTTGTTCCCACTTTTTTAAAGTCTTCTGGTAACCATTTTTTGTACACAAAAGACTCAAATGATTCCTTCTTCATCGTTAACATTAACTGGAAAAAAAAAAAAGGAAAAACTGCAAATCCACAACTCTCCTTGATATCTGTCCTTCGCAACAGACAAAAAAAAAAAAAAAAAAACCTCTATAATCTCAAGCCTAGAAAGCGACTTCCAAGAATGACGCACATCTGAACAAACACTATGCTATTTGGGTTTGATTCCTTATTAAAATGAAGATAAATGTAGCGCAGATAAAAAATTGTTTCGTCTTTTCAAACCTAAGCCATTATCTCCTCCCACTCAGAGCAGTATGAAAAAGTTTCATTGCGAATGCTGATAAGTGCAAACATCTAAATACAAATAACGTTGCAACCTGGCTCAATCTATGAGAAAAAAGCTGTACGCTCTAAGAAAACTTTTTGACTTTTCTGAATATTTTGTTAATTGTTTACGACGACAGCACAGGCTCATTTCAGTGTATGTTCTTAATTCGGTCAAACTTCTACAAGGTTCATTTAGTAGTTTTCAGTATAGCAAACCAAGATGGTCTACGTTTACAAACATAAATTTAATTGATGGCAAAGGATACCACATCACTCCCATTCTTTGCTGTATTTGTTACATACATCCAAGGTCACATCAAAGAATGAAAACACCAGTCCAAGTGGTTAACACCACAAGTTTATATAATTTGCTCCTGTCATAGATCAAACACTTCTGATTAAGCTAATTTTTTTTTTTTTTTTTTTTTTTGCGGTTAAGTATAAAAAAAGCTTGTGTGTGCCTAAGCTATATTCAGTAACAGCACAACGTAAAAATACATGAATCGTACATTTTTGTCCCTACAGCAGTCAGATCTTTAGAACCCCGTGGAATGTGGCGATCTGGTACCAATTTTCTGATGCCAACTTGTTCTGGTCAGAAAAGTTAAATGAGAAATTTGGTGCTAAGGGTTTCTGGTCATAAACGTAAATAAAGCCTCGCCAAAAGGTAAACTGCCCCAACGTTCAAACCGAAGCTGCCTACTCCTAGTTTTGTTTCAAAGACTTACCGCGGGTGGGCGGATTTTGCAGATACCAGCCTTTTCAGCTATAGGCCTTATTTTCGCAATGTAGCCTAGCGGGTCTTGGAATTCAGCCCAGCTAGGCTCAAAAACCGGGCACTCAGGCGGCGGCAGGAACTCGTCACACCCCGGTTCCATGTCGGGCCTTAATGCTAAACTGTAAAATAAGAATCACATTGTCTTTAATGACGAACTGGTTCCTCCTCCTAAAAGCCCTAGGGAAATTTCATTTTCTTGAGAATTTCACGGTTACTTTAATCCCGTAGCCGCTTACCAATCGCCACGACCCCTAGTTTTACAACCACCATCTTGACCTCCGAGCCTTGCTGTGTGGTACGAACCGTCTCACTCCGCGGATCGATTTTTCCGGCGCTATTTCCAAACCTGTGATACCTTCTGCACCTTAGATAAAAGCTGAGGACGCAAGAGCGATTTTACCAGAAGAAAACAGCCACAGACCAGTAGCTGGACTGATATTAAACATTACTCCGACGTAACAAAAGAGCAAGATAAAAATAGTATAACCGGATCTTTTTTTAAAATGGGACCACTGCGCAAGTTACGCCTGCGTATTACCGGGAAGGACCGTAAAAGGGTCTGGTGAAGTTCAACCAAGGATTTCTCAGAGAAAATTGCTCCTTTGCGGAAATGTTGGTAGAAACGCATCTTTTTTCTCTGCCGATACAAACCGCCGGCGATCTCCGTTAATGTGAAAGGATTTACTAACATTTTATGAAGACTCACTAGGTTCTCTGTTGGAGAACTTTCCTATCGTAAGACGTTTAGGAGGCACGACACCGGTACGATGTATTTATGTTCTTGTAAACTTGCATTAACAGTGCACTTCAAGTGGGCACATTTGTCGTTGGATTTTTTTTTTACCAACTCGAGCTTGGACTTTAGGACGGGGAAAAGAAGTGCTAAATGTTTTTAAATAAAACCTTTACCGCCCATGATAAACATCCCTTAAAAATTACCTAGGATCTCCCTAAATTTTAAAATGATCACAAAGACCTGGACAGATGACAGTAAACCTTCAACATCGCTAACCACACGTACCATAAATTAAAAGAAGCACACTGCTAACGATCTGTTTTTTGATGTGGAATTATCTATACTGTTTTTAGGGAAGTTACAATTTATTGCGAGGTTTTATTTCAAAACGTTATACTTCGTTGCTTCAAATTTTATTTACAATATTTTACACCCCTGTTGAGCAAAAATCACCCTACATTGCCATTCTATTTTTTTAAGAATCAATTCACTATTGTAGTATCTTGTTCTCTATGTATTTTTGAAAAATATGCAAAAGGTAAATTTTAAAAATTATCTGGTAGATCTCATTTTGAAGGGGACTGCCGGAAATGCCTTAAAGTTTGACAGTTTGGTAATTGTTTCGTATTGTACAATTCTTGGCATTTCCTTTTTTTTTTTTTTTAAACAATTTATCCGTTTCATGTAGATTATCGGCTTCGTTACTTTATTATGCTGCATTACATATATATTCCTGTTTCGAAAGTTACGTTACTTAATTTTCTGCTCTAATTTTACCAGTTTTATCTACATACTTTTTTCTATTTAATAAAATTAGAATTATAATTTATCCTGTATTATTTCAAATGATTAGATCAATTTTTTTCACAATTCAAAATAATTCACTATAAAACATGTATATTTTATTCATCAGTAAGTAGATATTTCAATTTCTACATTTAGCTGTTATAAATAATGTTGGTATTAACATTTGTGTACCGGTTTTTATGTGCATGCTTAGTTTCATTTCTTGTGTGTATACACACCTACTAGTAGAATTGGGTTATATGGGAACTTCGGGTTTAAACTTTTTTCTCCGAAGCATCTGTATCATTTAATTTCTATCAAAAGTGGAAGACCGTTCTAATTTCTCCATATCCTAACCAATACTGTAATTACATGACTTACTGATTTGACCATCACAATGTCAAATCTCATTGAGTTTTGAGTTGTACTTCCTGAATTACTAATGACACAATAGTGTTGAGCATGTTTTTGTAAGCTTGTTGGCTTGTTCATGTGCTTTATATACCTTCTTTGGAGAAATGTCTATTCAAGATTTTTGGCTCTTTTCACATTGGTTTGCCTTTTTTTGTTTAGTTGTAATTATTCTTATCTGATTCTCTTATCAGATGTTTGATTTGAAAATAATTAATTCTGTCAGCTGGCTTCTCTGTTTCCTAGTAGTAAACTTTAAACAGAAAGGTTTTTAGTTTGATGTTTATCCAGTTTACTTTTTTGTATTGTCACTTGTACTTTCAGTGTTGCCTCTGAGGGGATTTTTGTCTAACCCAAAATCACAAAGATGTAGTCTTATACTCTATTCTGGGACCTTTATAGTATTAGCTTTTACATTAACTTTTTTGATACATTTGGGGTTAACTTATGTAAACACTGTGAAGTAATGATCCAACTCAATATTTTTGCCTGTTGCCATCTAGTTGTCCCAGAATTTGTTGGAAACATTATTATTGCTTCATTAATTATTCTTGGCACTTCTGATAACTTTCCATTGGCCATAAATGTATGGGTTCATTCTTGGACTTTCAGTTCCATTCTGTATTTTTGTGTATGTATAAATTCTAATGCCATGTTGTTTTTATTGCTGTAGTTTGTAGAAGGTTTGAATTGGGGGAAGTGAGTAATCCAACTTTGTTCTTGTTTTTTTTTTTTTTTTTTTTTTGAGACTGGTTGGCTATTATTTGTTTCTTGTATTTTTATTAGCTTGCCTATTTCTACAGAGAAACAAGCTGGGGTTTCTACAGACTAGCAAGCTGGGATTGAGACAGAAATGTTGAATCCATGACAAATTTAGGAAATATTTCCATCTAGTTTCGTATACATGGTCAAAGCATGTATTTCAATTTATTTAGGTCTTTGGTTTCCTGCAACAAAGTTTTATCGTTTTTAGTATATTATATATGTTAGTATTTAGTATGTATATATTATTTATATATTTGAAATTAATTTACTTCATCTTATTTTATTCTATTTCTGCTACTATGAATCAAATTTTTTAAATATTTCCCCTGTAAAGTGTTTGTTAGTGATGTACAAAAATATGATTGATTTTTGTATGTTTATCTTGTGTTCTGCCGCCTTTCTAACTTCATTTATTGTAATATATATATTTTTAACTTTTAAGTTCAGAGGTACATGTACAGGATATGATGGTTTATTTTATAAGTTAGCCTGTGTCATAAGGTTGGTTGTACAGATTATTTCATCACCCAAGTATTAAGCCTAATATCCATTAGTTATGTGTCTTGCTTCCTCCTATGCTGCACGTATCAGGCCTCTGAGCCAAAGCTAAGCCATCCTATCCCCTGTGTCCTGCACATACACATCCAACACCCCACTGCTTTCTCTCCGTGTCTCTACCCTTTCTCTTTTCTGGGGAGCAAGAACCACCCTGACCCCTTCTCTCCGTGTCTCTACCCTTTCTCCACTTTTCTGGGGTGCAAGAACACCCGACCCCTTCTCTCCATGTCTCTACCGCTTCTCTGCTTTTCTGAGGGGCAAGAACCCACTGACCCCTTCTCTCCGTGTCACTACCCTCTCTTTTCTCTGGGCTTGCCTCCTTCACTATGGGCAACCTTCCATCCTCCATTCCTCCCTCTTCTCCCTTAGCCTGTGTTCTCAAGAACTTAAAACCTCTTTAACTCACACCTGACCTAAAACCTAAATGCCTTATTTTCTTCTACAATGCTGCTTGACCCCAGTACAAACTCGACAGTGTTTCAAATAGCCAAAAAACGGCACTTTCAATTTTTTCATGGTACAAGATCTAAATAATTCTTGTCGTAAAATGGGCAAACAGTCTGACGTGCCTGACGTCCAGGCATTCTTTAACACATGGGTCTCTCTCTAGTCTCTGTCTGCAATGCAACTTGTCCCAAATCTTCCTTCTTTCCCTCCCACCTGTCCCCTCAGTCCCAACCCCAAGCATCGCTGAGTCTTTCTAATCTTCCTTTTCTACAGAACCATCGACCTCTGTCCTCCTTCCAGGCTGCTCCTTGCCAGGCCGAGCTAGGTCCCAATTTTTCTTAGCCTCTGCTCCCTCACCCTATAATCCTTTTATCACCTCCCCTCCTCACACCTGGTCTGGCTTGCAGTTTCGTTCTCTGATGAGCCCTCCCCCACCTGCCCAGCAACTTCCTCTTAAAAAGGTGACTGGAACTAAAGACATAGTCAAGGTTTATGCTTCTTTTTCTTTATCTGACCTCTCCCAAATTAGTTAGCATTTAGTTTAGGCTCTTTTTCATCAAATATAAAAAACCAAGCCAAGTTCCTAGCTCATTTGGCATCAACACTGAAACGCTTTACAGCTCTCGGCCGGAAAAGGTCAAAAGGTTGTCTTATTCTCAATATACATTTTATTACCCAATCCACTCTCAACATTAAATAAAACTCCAAAAATTAGATTCTGGCCCTCAAACTGCACAACAGAACCTAATTAACCTCGTCTTCAAGGTGTGTAATAATAGAGTAAAGGCAGCCAAGTAGCAACATATTTCTGAGACAAACCCCAGTCATATCTCCAGCGCACAAGAACTTCCAAATGCCTGAACCCCAGCAGCGAGGTGTTCCAGGAACTTGCTTCAAGTGCTGGAAATCTGGCCACTAGGCTAAGGAATGCCTGCAGCCCTGGATTCCTCCTAAGCCTTATCGCATCTCTGCGGGACCTGACGAAAAATCGGACTGTTCAACTCGCCCTGGAGCCACTCTCAGAGCCTCTGGAACTATGGCCTAAGTCTGACTGACTCCTTCCCAGATCTTCTCAGCTTAGCTGCTGAAGACTGACACTGCCTGATCATCTTGGAAGCCTACAGGACCATCACAGACGATTTAGCTAACTCTCACAGTGGAAGGTAAGTCTATCCCCTTCTTAATCAATACAGAGGCTACCCACTCCACATTACCTTCTTTTCAAGGGCCTGTTTCCCTTGCCTCCATAACTATTTTAAGTATTGATAGCCAGGCTTCTAAACCTCTTAAAACTCCCCAACTCTGGTGCCAACTTAGACAATACTCTTTTAAGCACTCCTTTTTAGTTATGCCCAGCCGCCCAGTTCCCTTATTAGGCTGAGACATTTTAACTAAATTATATGCTTCCCTGACTATTCCTGGGCTACAGCCACACCTCATTGCTGTCTTTTCCCCCAGTTCAAAGCCTCCTTCACATCCTTCCGTTGTATCTCCACACCTTAACCCACAAGTATAGGATACCTCTACTCCCTCCTTAGTGACAAATCATGCACCCCTTACCATCCCCTTAAAACCTAATCACCCTTACCCCACTCAATGCCAATATCCCATCCCACAGCACACTTTAAAACGATTAAAGCCTGTTATCACTAGCCTGCTACAGGATGGCCTTTTAAAGCCTCTAAGTTCCCCTTATAGTTCCCCCATTTTACTTGTCCTAAAACCAGACAAGGCTTACATGTTAGTTCAGGATGTGTGCCTTATCAACCACATTGTTTTGCCAATCCACCCTGTGGTGCCTGCCAAACCCATATACTCTCCTATCCTCTGTACCTCCCTCCACAACCCATTATCCTGTTCTGGATCTCAAACATACTTTCTTTACTATTCCTTTGCACCCTTCATCCCAACCTCTTTTCACTCTCACTTGGACTGACTCTGACACCCATCAGGCTCAGCAAATTACCGGGGCTGTACTGCTACAAGGCTTCACAGCCCCCATTACTTCAGTCAAGTCCAAATTTCTTCCTCATCTGTTACCTATCTCGGTATAATTCTATAAAAACACGTGCTCTGCCTGCTGATTGTGTCTGGCGAATCTCCCAAACCCCAATCCCTTCTACAAAACAACTACTCCTTTCCTTCCTAGCATGGTTAGTAAGGTCAGAAATCTTACACAAGAGCCAGGACCACATCCCGTAGCCTTTCTGTCCAGACAGCTTGACTTTACCGTTTTAGCCTAGCCCTCATGTCTGTGTGCAGCAGCTGCTGCTGCCTTAATACTTTTAGAGGCCCTAAAAATCACAAACAGTGCTAAACTCACTCTCTACAGTTCTCATAACTTCCAAAATCTATTTTTTTTTCTTTTTTTTTTATGATTTCTTTTTTTTTTAATTTTTTTTTAATTTATTTATTAT